TTAATACACATGGTAGAATCAGAATATTACGAAAGAAGGTATTTTGCATTCAATTACGAATATCATTTACCTTTTGCTTTTCGTTCTTAAACTGTTTTAATGGTCTCTGCAGCGGCAATGGTTCATTTTCTTGCTCAGATGTTGTCGTCTCCGAAGAACGCTCTCTTGGTATACTTCTTTCGTTCACTTCTTGTTATGCATTTGACCCCATACTTTTCAAAGTTGGCGACAACTTCTGTCATTTCTATCCAAGCTGCATATAACATTTATTACATAGGATCGTAGTGTATACAACAATGATTATCACTGTCCTTACATTAAAATAACAGAATAAAAAATATTTACTTACTACCATGTGCCAGAATAACTGCAACAGTAACCTCCCAGTCCGCTTTTTTTTAACACTTTATCTATAGTTGCAGAATGTATCTTAATAACACAGTTTTTCGGCCATTTTAATTGAATTTGTGTTCCTTGATCTATGATGTCTTGCAAACCATCATCGTCAAGTTGAGAAATTATCCACTCTTTGTACGCAATAGATATTTTATTGTTCTCGTTAGGAAAGTCGCAAACAATATATTTGTCGTTTGACATGATATCCATGTCATCAAGTAAATTTGTTTACTGTATTTTCAATAGACTGATGCCCAAAAAGCTCAGACTACGACCTGCTACGATAAATCAATTAGAAACACGCACAGTAAATAAAAAAATGCAGAAAACCGAGCACTAAAACGGACACAAACATGGTGACACGTGAGTTTGGTAAATAATGACGCAGTATTTGTTCTTTGCATTTAATATTAATATAAATGATAATATCTATAATATTTACTCTAACTCTTTTCTCTTTCGCCGGAACTCGCCAGAACTTTCATGCCCTTAACGTAACGTTTCGCCAGTGTATTTGTGCTGCCGCCACAAATCCGCGAGAAAAAGCGACACATTAATTGTAACTGTAGTCTTAAAACAAAATACTATACAATAGCTGCGTTCGGGGAGACGCCAAAAGTGTATTCTGTTCTTGTTCAATTTTCAGTAAATAACAAGGACATAACAGTTTATAGCGCCAAATAGTGTCTCCCCGAATGCAAATGTAAGCGTATGACTGCGAATCGCCTATAGTGCAGGGATGGGGGACAGTGTTTACGGCAAGAGATCTTCTACGCATGCGTAGAGTAACGTGGCAGTCACTCCTGCGGTTACCATTGGCGGATGACGTAGCTGACGCATGCGCAAACTCGAGCCTGTGAGATTTTGTTCCGCACGGCAAAGCTGGGATTCCGAGCCTCGACTTGCAAAGCGGAGGACCCCCTCCATGCGGCCTTCCCCTTATGCACACACTGAGCGCTCCATCTATCCGTGTCGAGCGTCGCGTGAGTTGCCTGTCTCGCGTAGAGTGACAAAAAGAAATCATTCCCTCTCACTCTCTCGACTCGTACCGAAATCGCTCCCGCTGATTCTTTTTCGACATGAAGCGTGGATCGGAGATTCGAGTCACGTGCGCAATTAAGACCAATATCGATAGGTATCGAAATTGATGCAATGCTGACCTGCAAATATGATTAATAATAAATATAAATATATGTATATATATATGGAAAAAATAATTTATTAATAAATGATTTCATTTTAAACCTCATATGTAATGACCCCGTATGTTTTCCATCAATCGCAACTATCTTCACATAAAATATAAAAAAAGTTCTATATAATAAAACAAATTATCAAGCAGTCGCTCGAAACAATTGAAATTTACAATTTCTTGCAACGTTAACTATCGTTACAAAACTATTCGTCTCTTTATACTTAAAATGCATTGGTATACGAGTTTTTTACGACATGTAGAAACAGACATATTAATTTATATACGTGACGATTGCCCTAGTTTTCGCGTTTCAAACACATGCGTTTCTCATTATTATACACTGAGAGAAAAGGTTTTATTAATGTTTAGAAACCGTCATTCGCAACAAATGATTTGTTACTATGGGACAACAAGTGATTCTGTTGTGGGAACAAATTTTCACTTGTTGATTTAATAAACACTTTTGTAACGACAAATGATTTTTGACGCTAGCAATGTATGTCTGTTAAAATAACAAATAATTTGTAACCCTAACTGTTGCCATGATGTGTTGCCATGACAATCATCAATCTCTGTTAGCACAGTAATCGCACTTTTGCTTTTTTAACAGAGGAATTTTTCTTAGTATATGCGTACTTTATGTGAAAACAGTTACAACTAATTTCAACAGTACGAAGTCGTTTCTTATCGAATGTGAATCGTTATCCTCTTACAATCGTATTGTAAATGCACTCTGTGTGAAAACCATCGCAGATAAATGAAATAAGCAGCATTTTTCAATGCATAACGTAGGAAAGAGCAAATTCACTCTTTGCCAGAAATGTGGATAAAATCATATCTTGAAAGTATCAGACATGCTCATGCATTTATGCGAAAGTGTCAAAATCAAGAAAAGATTATAATATTCTAGGTGCGAGATAATGTGGAAAATGTATTAGAAGAACGATTAGAAAAGAACTCTTTTCGGCGCATACCGAATCTGCGCTATTGTTTTCGTGTCTGCGGGGGGCGTGTCTATTACGTGTTAGTAGTCGCGTCTTCGCCGCTTTTCTTTTATCTTCTGAATACCGCGACTCTTCTGAATACGTCGCGACTCGCGAGTTGCGCAGCTATTGTTTTTTCATTGTCAGTAGCCGCTGATTTCTTGCTTGTGCATGTCGTACGCAGTGACAGTTATCCTTTGGATATACTTATTTATTGTGTCGTAGGAGCTTCGTAACATTTTGTAAGTTAATATTACATGTATAATTTAATTGTATTTCGTAGTTGTGAAATTATTGTGAGGTGTAGTTGTAGGTTCTATTATTGAGGCGTTTTTTTTTTTCATACAAGTGTGCATTCTTGTAAACGTATTTACAGTTGCACTTAATTTCTTTTTAGTATTTATTATCTTTTTTCGTCGCATTATTTCTTTTGCATTTTTTCGTTCTACAGCATGGATAAATATGTAAAACGCTTTAAATTTTCTCGTGGTTGGCTGGAAAACGAGAATTATAAATCTTGGATAAGGGAAGTTCCCAATGATACTAGTAAATATTTTTGTTGTATATGCAATAAAACGTTTTCTTGCAAAACACGAGTATAGCGGCATACCGAATCAGAGATTCATCGAAATAATATATTGCAAGGTTGTTCTGAAGAGACACAAGCAACTGTAAAGGAATCTCGCAGGAGGAAATTTGCCATTCATGGCTTGAACATGAACAATTCAAACCGTGGCTGGAGAAAATTCCGAATGATCCGTACAATTGTTTTTGCTCTTTCTGCAATATAACGTTTCGGTGTGGTCTCGACATTCTGACACGAAGAAACATATGTCAGAGTGTCAGAAAAGAGGCCTCATGGTAGATTTGAATGAGAGCGGTCAGACAGTACGTCAGAACAGTACGGAATTTTTAGTCAGAAGAGACAGTCAGTCAGACAGTACGTCAGAACAGTACGGAATTTTTAGTCAGAAAAGACAGTCAGTAAGACAGTACGTCAGAATAATCAGTCGGTCGGAGACGACATCAAACTAAACTTAGTTCATCTCGGTTTTCCCTTTTCAATTCCATACCTATAATCGCACTTGTTCAATCCTATAATCACACGAACTGTCGCTACCAATAGTGTGGCCCGTAATTATACCTCAACGAAATTTATTTAATTCTATATACTTTCGAAAGATGGGCGACGACAGCAAATTAAGAGACTTAGGTATCAGATCAAGGTCGCTTTTTTTTCAAACCAAGACTCGTTTTCATTATTTGAAGAATTAGCAAACCTATTAGATCAATCTCCTCAACCCAATCCTTCATCTATAGCAACCTACATTCTACGTAAGGCAGAATATATCTATTCATTCCCGACTACAAGTCTATCCTTAAGGGTGATCCTCGTCGACTCACCTATAAAATACGCGAATTATTCGGAGTAGAACACCAATGATCCTATCCAGTCCTTTCACCCGTCAACCGGTGAACTAGAAGTAGTGCACAACTTGATCTCCGATCCCTGGGTAAAATGCTTTAATGCATTGACCCAAAATAAGGAGAAATAAAAATTAATCCTATACGTGACGACGCGACGGGACGTCACAATACTCATTCCATTAACATTACAGATACCTTGTACGGAACATTATATTAACGAGCAATTTATAACAAAATAATTTATATGATATATCTTTAACTAGTTAGTTGATTTTAAGTGAAATTTAGCTCTTCTATTTGATTTTCACACATGAAAATTTATTCCGTACTGGTTGGACGCGAACTCGAGAACTTCAGATACTTTTAGGTCTTTAGTCTAGGGAGCGGTGCACTTGGACACGGTGCATTTGGATACAGCCAATCACAGCACCGTCTGATTAGAGACATTTGTAGAGTCCCTTGGAACAGCGACTTGTGATTGGACTGTGTCCAATTGCCCCGTGTTCAACTGATATACACTCGATTTGAATACGCTAGAGGAAACATCGTCTCTGTCTTTTAAAGATCGTAAAAAAATCGCGGAAATTAAATTTGCAGCATTAATTGCCGAAAAGAACATTCCGTTTCAATCGGCAATTTTAGCTTTGTTTCAAGATATCGGGAAAGATCCCAGTGTTTTGCAAAGTATGACGATGAATCGAAAAAAGGCGCCGCGAATAATAAATAATGTCTTATGTACTCGCGAACAGGAACGATTAATAAATACTTTACAAAATAACAAATTTTCAATATTTATCGATGAAACTTCCGATATTACAAATGATAAATGGATGACATTTCTTGTTCGGTATGTCGACCCTCAAACTTTGAATGTTCGGACGGAATTATTAAAATTAATTCATTAATTATTAATTAATAATTATTAATTAATAATTTAGACGCGAGTGATTGCAGTGCCGACAAATTATTTATAACTTTTAGAACCGAAATGTGGAAAAAACAAATTCCGTTCGAAAATATTCTCGCTTATTCCTGTGATAATGCCTCCGTTATGACAGGAAAATATGAATCATTTAAAAAAAAATTAGAAAAGTATTGCAAAAATTTGATAACAATGCCATGTCCGTGTCACTCATCTGCATTAGTGGCAAATGCAGCTTGCAAAGCAATTCCTGAAACATGCGAGGAATTGCTGCGCAAAGTGACATCGTTTATCTCCAGCAGTCCCAAACGTGCACATATTTTTAAACAGTTCTAAAAAGCATTTAATTTTGATACCAGTAATAGAAATATTTTAAAATTGTCTGAAACGCGATGGCTTTCTCGCCATTTATGCGTGGCTAGACTAAATGAAAATTGGGACGTGTTATTGAAATTTTTGCAAGAAGAGCAAGCGAGCGAGAAATCGAAGTCTAGGGCTTCTTTGCTGCTCATGATGCAAAATCCAGAAATCCAAGCTTGTTGTTTTTAGAGTATGTATATTCTTGACGCATTTAATAAATTTAATGCGTCATTTCAAGCTCAAGAAACAAAAGTTCATTTATTACAGTCATCCGCGGAAAATCTATTGAAAACCGTCCTTCGCAACGTTGTAAGAGCTCCGTTGTTAGAATTTGTTGCGATGGGTACAATTAATCCCTTACTCGCGTGTAATCGTCGCTCTCCTGATCAAGTTCTGGTTGGACAAGCATGCCAAGATCTTCTTGATCGATTGAATGAAGAAGATCAGGGTGAAATTGTCAAATCAGTTTACGCTAATTGTTTGAAATTCTACGACATCGCTGCTAAAGAAATTCGTCAGAGACTATTTGTCAAAGAAGAATTTCTTAGCAAATTGCGGATTTTTGATCCGAAATTTGCTATGCAAGAAGATAATAAAGAGAACAAACCAAACACCATTGTTCAGGATGTTGTAGTTGTTGCCAAACGATTCGGCGGATTTGATGAGGAGATGTTGCGAAAAGAATGGCAATCCTTATATCTGGATTTCGCATCAGGGCAAAAAAACTTCATACTGACATTAGATTTCGACGATGCATGGAAAATAATAATGACAACTAAAAATGCGAATGGTAAATTAAAGTATCCTACAATTATGAAATTAGTCAATGCTATACGATCTCTTCCAAATTCTAATGCCAAAAGAAGGGTGTATATCAGTTGGACACGGGGCAATTGGACACAGTCCAATCACAAGTCGCTGTTCCAAGGGACCCTACAAATGTCTCTAATCATACGGTGCTGTGATTGGCTGTGTCCAAATGCACTGTGTCCAAGTGCACCACTCCCCCAAAAGAATATTTTCCATGCTAACAGATGTAAAAACAAAAAAACGTAATTCCCTTTCTTCGAGTCACGTTAACGCTCTGTGCGTATTCAAATCGTGTCTGAGGGCGAGAGGAAAACAGCTCTAACCATGACAGTTGATGCTCGACATTTAACTCTCATGGCATCCGAGAATTTGAATGAAACAAACGATACAAGGAATGCATGTTCTTTGCGTTTGGTGTGAATAATAGTCTCTCTACGTCCTCGGATTTGTAATTGAGTCTGTCACAAACCAAATTTATAAACTGCACATGTTATTCATTTTTCAATTTTAATATCACAGCATATACTTTGTGTTGTGGTACTAGAATTCAGCAGTGACCACAAGTGGAGTTCATCTGTTTCGTTTCTGAAAGACTCAGTTACAGCTTGGATTGCTTGGTGGC